TACAGTAGGGGTGTCTCAGGGGGTGCTGGCGAGGGGTGCAGTGGGGGTGTCTCAGGGGTGCAGCAGGGGGGTGCAGTGGTGGGTATCTCGGAGGCGCTGACGGGGTCTGTCTCTTGCAGGCGGCGTGTTCTCAGCCCTGCTGCACAACGCCTCGTCGGGCAGCACCGTGGCGTTGAACGCCGTCCCGCGCCGTGGCTTCTCCCCGCACTACGGGCTTCCCGTGGCCCTGCCGGGCCTGCGCCTGCTGCACCGGCACTTCGGCCGCCTGGCCTGGCCGCGCCTGCTGGAGGGGCCGGCGGCGCTGGCGGAGAGAGGCGTCCGCGTAGACCAGGAGCTGGCTGCGGCCCTGCAGGAGAGCGCGGGCGCGGTAAAGGCCTCAGGCCTCTGCAGCCTCTTCTGCGACGGGGCCGGCGAGCTGAAGGGCCGGGGCGCGCTGGTCACCCGCCCCCGGCTGGCGGCCCTGCTCCGGGCGGTGGCGTCAGGGGACGAGGCCCTGCCCCAGGCCCTGGCCCCGGACCTGCCCCCTGCCGAGCGGGAGCCCTTCCTGCAGGCCATGGGGGACGTGGGGCTGGAGCTGCAGAGCCCCCTGGCCATGCAGCTGGGCGACACCTGGCTGTATGGAGCCCCGGCCCCCGCCGCCGGCAGCCTGCTGGCCAGCGTCTTCGAGGAGGTGCGGGCAGCCGAGCCCCGGGACGCGCCTGATCCCTGCCTGAGGGCCCTGAGCGCGGCCTGGCGTGGCTACTCCCGGGGACTTGGGGGGGCCGTGGGTGGGGGCCCCTCACCCCGGCCCCCTCGCCCTGCCAGGGCCCCCTCGCCCGTGGGCAGCCACCTGGCAGTGGCAGACAGCCAGGGGAACGTGCTGCTGCTCTCGGCCTCTCTCAACAGCTCCTTCGGCTCCAAATTCCTGGCGCCCGCCTCGGGCATCCTGCTGAGTGACCTGACAGCGCCCGCGGGGCCTGGCCTGCTCTCCTGGGCCTGCCCCGTGGTGCTGAGCCTGGGGGAAGAGGGGACAGTGGTGGGGCTGGGGGCCACAGGGGGCAGTGCGGCCCCACTGGCCCTGGCCCAGGCCATTATAAACCAGGTGTACCTGGGGCAGCCCCTGCAGGAGGCGCTGGAGAGCCCATGGCTGCAGCTCAGGGGCGGGGGGGACGGGGCCTCCCAGGGCTGTGGGCCGGGCACCCAGTCAAATCTGTCCAGTGGCGAGTGGGCTGGGGGGGCCCCACAGGCGGGCCCCTGGGTGCTGCAGGTGGCATCACAGGGTGAGCATGCACGTGCCTTCGCCGCCCCGGCCACGTGCTGCCATCACGAGGGGTATTAGCCCCAGGGGCCCTGCTCAGAGACCAGGGCACACGGCGCTGGCGTGGGCAGGGCTGGCATGCCCGGTGCGCCGTGGACCCCAAGCTGGCCCTGCCCACGTAGTGCTGGGGGCACAGCGTGAGTGGCTGGTTCTGGCAGCCCCGGTTGGACTCCCCCGCCCAGGGGCCAGTACCGCACTCCGGCAGGCCCCCTCCCCCTCCTTGCCGGCGTGGCAGGGCTATGCAGGGCCCCCATCACAGGGGGTCGGGCTGCTGCCCTTTGCATCAGGCCAGCCCAGGTTCCCTGGGGTTTGGGGCATGCCAGGGGCTGGTTCCTCCCTGCTCTCCACTCTGGGGCCCCCGCTGCCGCCTGGCACCTCTCTGGAGACAGCCCCACTCCCCCCCCCAGATCCCTGCCAGACACTCCTGGGTCCTGACGTGACGGGAGCTGCAGCCCCACGCGCACACGGGCGTTCGGCTGACCGGAGCCGGGCTGGGGGTCCCAGGAAGCTGACGGTGTGTCCTAAGGGCTGGGTGGGGGACAGCAGGGCTCTGGGGCCAGAGAGATGGGCTGCAGATGGGGAGAAGTGGCAGGAACTCCCCTCCCCCCGATCCTGGCGAGATGGGTTGGCTGGGGCACCGGCTCAGAGCGGGGGCTTATGGACACTCCTGTGTGTGTCTGTGAAGAGAAATAAACCCAGTGGGAGCCGTGCTGCCTGGTGTGTGGCTCGTCGCGCGTCGGCCCTGCGGCCACTGTTCCCAGCCCAGGGGCCTGGTGATCCAGCCCGGAGGGGCCCAGCCAGGGAGGGGGGTGGGAGCCCCCGGGGTGAAGCCCCCACCTGACCAGGCAGCTCCCAGCCCAGGAGAGCCTGGGGCATCTCAGGTCCTTGGCCAGGGGGTTAATGTGAGGACACAAGGGAAGGGGCCAGCCCTGGTGGCCCGGCCACCTGCCCCCAAGCCGCTGTAACCCAAACCCCTCCCTGGGTGGAGCGGTGTCCGCTGCGCTAGGGTCTAGACATGCCTGTCTCAGAGCCAAGGGGGGCCCAGTGGTTATGGGCAGTGGGGCAGGGAGCCCGGACTCCTGGGTTCCATTCCCACCAACTCTGTGAGACCTTTGGCAGGGGCCTTCCCTCGGCCTCAGTCTCCCCGTGTGATGTTGCCAAGGGGGCACCGGGGGACAGGGCTGCACGGAGGCTCTTGGGCCAGGCCCTGCTGCGCCATGGGGGTCAGTGCTGACAGGAGGGGCAGCTGCTCCATGGCAGCTGAGGGCTCCTGCCCTGGCGTGCGGCCGTCCCCAGGGAGTCTGGGGGGCGGGCTGGGGACAGGGTGCTGGGGAAGGGGTGTTACCCAGGCTGTGACGGAGGCTGTGGGACCCTCCCCACCAGTCTCTGGGCCCGTGGAGGGGGGTGGCAGCGAGCCAGTTGGCTGTGCTGAGTGTGAAAAGCCCTGCGCTGCCCTCGCTGCCGGGGCACAAGCCTGGGGGGCAGCACGGTGAGGGTGGGGCACCGGGAGCTGAGAGCGGGCAGTGGTGCGAAGCACAAGCATGTGCCCAGTGCTAGGCCTCGCGGGCCCCCCACAGATGGTGTTTGGCCCCCTGGCTCAGGTGCAGGGCCAGGCGGGATCGGGAGGCGGGGGTGATGCTAGGCCAGGAGTTAGAGCAGGTGCTGGGGGAGTCCCAGGTTCAACCCCCCCGTCTCTGCTCGGGTGCGGGTGAAGCTTTGAGCAGGGTCATTGGGCTAGCAGGCGAGAGCAGCTCCAGCTGACCGGTGCCCGTGTGTGGGGCACTAGACACCTCCCTGCATCCTGGACTCGGTGCCCGTCTCTGCCCCGTTGTACGGGGAGACCAGATGCCCAGACCAGATGCCCAGCACAGCTGTGTGCATCTGTGATGAAGTGGGGAATTTTCTTGTTTTCTGTGGGTTTCCAATGGTTTGCATGTGGAGGGGGTGGGACTCAGTTTCCCTGGGGGTTACTGGTTTAACGAGGTGAGGGGAGAGGGAGTTTGTTGTTGCAGAGGACCGAAGAGGGAACTTGGGACCCCAGCCAATGCCCTGGAGGATGGACACCCCAGCGACCGGTGACCTGAGACCCCCGACCCGGAGGCCCAGCTCAGGAGTTGCAGCCGGTTCTGGCCAGTGGGCGGACAATGGGCTGCAGAGTGAGGACCCAGTGACCTAACCAGC